CCAACACACCCACATACAGCTTTTGAAGCAGTACATATATAAGTAGTTAGTAAATGTCAGCTATTGTTGTGTGCCAGGTATTGAGCACGTAGTAGGTGTTTGATAAACACAGTGGCCTTTCTGTGGTTAGATGTGCTGGAACAATTCATTATATTAATCTCTGCTGCCTTTGCAAAGACTGCAGGTTTAATGCATATCTCTCTCCTGTTAATTAAAGCCCCCAAGCCCAGATAACCTTGCTTTTCTGTCCTTAGCAAGCTTTGGCTTGATAAGAATTTTCAAAATGTGTTTGTCGATCTTTTAAAACCTCTGAGATGAGTATTTACTGCCCAAATGTGCAAGAGTATCAAAAGAATTTAATCCAGGCGCCGGCTAAGGCTGCGGAAGATTTAAAGAGGGAGAGTGACAGGGCTTTCGTTTCTTCGCCCTCTATCTGCTGTGGCTACGAGTACTCTTTATCACTTAAAATCCTATTTGAAAAGGTCATGGGCTATTTGAGTGAATCATAGTGTAAGGATGGAGGAAAAAGGAGCCAGAGACTAGCCACCTCAGACTCCTCCCCATTTCCTCTCCTTCCCAGTGATGGATTTTGCTTTGAGTCCCCTGCTGTTCCCAACTCCTGGTACTGGAGATGACCAGCAGGTACAGTGATGGCGTCAGAGAGGATGAGGAGGCCAGGCGCATGCTCAGATGGCACCGCGTCTGCACATCGCCTTCAATCCACTCTCAATCTACTCTCCTCCACTTTTTTGGAGGATGACTGAGGCTCCAGGCGCTTCAGCACTGGTTTAAAAATGCCTAGTGTCTGACCTCAGACAGGAGCACGTCACCCTGGAAGCTGCTACGCTGCGGCCATCCCTCCTTCACCGGACCCAGCAGCTTCTCCCCAGCTTCCTGCCCTTGCTTGGTGTGAGGTGAGGTGGAGGCGTACGATGAGGTGTTTATTGGCCTCTTGTCTGCAGGCACCTTATCATTAAGCCCAGAAAAGCACTTTGGAAAGTGAAGCTGGTATTCATAAAGCTACTGGTTACTTTATTCACGAGCCTCGGCCTTCGGTATTGAAATCTGCATCACGTAGGATAATCTTGGCCTGGAAGTGCAGTGGGCAGGTGGGCAGCCCGGTCCCCCATGGATGGAGTGGAAACAGGACACAACCCAGAAGGGGAATGGCCAAGAGCCTCTCTCCTTTGGTTTGTCTCCTGACGAGTCTCTGCCGTCCTAGAATGATGACCTTGTCTGTGAAGTTATGCTTCCTCTTAGCACACCTGTACCATGCCAGATGCCAACTGAATACACCCAGCTCACTTTCTCCTCGGTGCGCCTGTCCTGTTAGCCACTGTCATCTCATAGGACCCCCACTGTGAGGCAGTCCTGTTGTTCTCATCTTAGAGATAAAGAAGTAGAAGTAGACCTCAGAGAGGTTAAGTGCCCTTTGCAAAGCCTCACAGCCAGTAGACAAGCTCAAACCCCAGGGGCTCTGTCCCACTCCCCTTACTCCGTCTGCTAGGCCAGCGCTCCACACAGGGAAGTGGCCTGTATTTGGACCATCCAGTTTAGTAGCTACTAACCACATGAGGTTATTCAGCATATGGAATCTGGCTAGCATAACTGAACAACTGTATTTCTTTATAAGTTTTACTGTAGGGTGCATATGCTCGCCAGAAAGAGAAAGAGAAAGATTGAAAAGCAACCCCCCAAGAAGCATGGCTACACCAAAGTCCCTTCTCCTCCGTTCACCTCTTGGGATTTGGGATATACATGTACTTGCACCAGGCATGTTTTTTAAAGCAATGGATCTAGAACTAAAACCGTGTGGCCATGTGGGATCCAGCTGCCTTAACCACTATGCCCCAGCTGACTCGAAGAACTGTATTTGAAGTATTATTTAATTTTAATGAAATTAGCTTATTTAGCTAGTTAGATCATTAAATTTTAATATTAATTAGAAATAGCTATGAGGCTAGTAGCAGTAAAGAACTGTGACAACCCCGAGATGTCCTACTTGCAAGCTAACAAATTAGCCTGCAGGCAGATGTTGGCACAAGACATAAGCTTCCAGATCAGAGACAAAGGACTCTATTACAGCACAGCAGGGAGCTGAGCCTCATGTTTGCATAATTTCTACCTGCCCCTCAAGTACTATGGAGTTTTCTGAAGAGCGTTTACCATTATCTGCTCTATTTTATTTGATGTGTAAGATTCTAGAGGAGAAGGACTTTTTAGTGTTCCCCTTTGTATTGCTAGCATTCCAGAAAGGGCCTGACATGTCCTGAGGACCCAAAGGGTTTTTACTAAATGATCAATGGCTTCTGGTTCATCAGAAAGTCAAGACTCTGGACAAGGTGGTTGTTGAGAATCCTGCTCTTGAAACAGGGCTCTGAATTTCTCAGGTTCTCTCATCCTGATGGTCACTGCTCAGATAAATCTCACCAGTTTTCTTCATGCAGAGCCTGAGGCAGGGGTTCTATACTTCTTACTGAAGAAGTGCTCCAGGAGGAGGGGTGGAGGAGGCAGGACCGGGCAAGGGGTATTGCTGAGCAAGGATGAGCTCCCAGCTGGAGTCAACTTTCAACCTAATCCTACAGGGTACTCTGAAGCACGGAACACAACAGGGTTAGTCCTAAATGGAGGCAAGGGGGCCAGCCTTGTATAGTCCCATAGCCCCCAGTCATCATCTGGACTGCCAGGATGGTGGGGGGAGACAGGGTAGTCACCTTCTTATCACCAGGGCAGTTTTCTGGAGCAACAGGCAGCTGTGGGCTGTAGCAGACGACAGTCACAGCAGCTGAGGGGTGATGGCCCAGCCCATAAATGGCCTCTGAGTAGAGCTCCAATAGCACCCACTCTGCAAGGAACCTCCATCCTGCAAGTAGCCTGACCCCAGCTGAAGAAATACACACCTGACACCTGCCTCCAGGTGAAGTGACTTCAGGGGTCACTAGGAGTAATTTGCTACCTCAGAAGAGTCCAGAAGCTCTTGATTACCAGCCCTGCTCACCGCCCCCACCCCTATGCTGCTCAAGTTTCCTGCTTATCTTCTGGGCTAGCTCAGAAAAAAAAAAAAAAAAAAAAAAAAAAAAAGGAGCAGTAGGTGTTATTCCTAGTGTCCCTACTGTGTGCCAGGAACTGTTCAGGGAGCTATAAATGTTACCTCATTTAACTCTTCCAACAGTCCAAGAGGTGGGCCTTAGAATGCCTGTCTCTGTGAGGTGGAAGCCGTGGCTCACAGAGGTCAAATGCTTTCCTGAGCCCTCACAATGGAAGATGGTAGTGTCAGGATCCAGCCCCAGTCTTGGCCAGAGCCTGTGTTCCTTCTCCAGGATCTCCTGCATGAACATGGAGAGTGGGAGAGGGAGGAGCATCCCCACTGTGCCTTCCTTTTCTTTCTCTGTATCCAGGAGACAGCCCTGTGAACCTTGGCATGCGGTTGATAGAATTTCTACTTGTATCCCAAGTCCACTGGATTTCCTTCGTAGATGAAGACCCATGATAATTTGTATTATCACTATGATAATAGTGCAGTGCATGTGCACACATTGAGAGAGAAAAGCAACACCCTCGACAGGGTCTCGTCACATGTGATCCCCTTTCCCCAGCCCTCCAGCTCTTCAGGATCTTTGTATGTGCACACCCAGTGTGCTCTTAGGCCAGCCTGTGGCTTCCAGAACACACTGGGGGCTGCACTACCTAGGCTGGGCCGAGGAATCATAGTCTTTTAGACTGTAAGCAAACTTATCCAGTCTTTCTCCTGGAGGAAGACATTATCATTATTACACTGGGCAGTCAACACACTTGAGCCCTGCCCCGGAGGGAGACATGGTCTGTGTCCCATGTTGTGTGCATCTTTGGAAAGACAGTCCAAACCAACAGCTGTAAAACACGGAGCAGGAGACCCAAAGAGAATGCCTCTCAGCAGTGCCCACTGCATTGGGTATTGCGACTCCAAATTGCAATGGCCTTCAGTGCCTATTCAGGGATGTCACACAGTTGTTACAGCATTGACCACCCACCACCAAGAGTCTGTGGAGTTAGTCTCAGTTTCCCTGTTTTGCACATGAATAAACAGGCTCACTCTAACCCCATCCCTGAATAGTCCTATTGTGGATCATCCTACTCATTCTTGACTTTCCTTCCCTCCTATTGTCTCCTCTGTCTCTATAAAAAAACAAACCAACCCTAGGGGCCAGCAGGTGGCATGGTGGTTAAGGCACTGGACTCCCATGTGACTGACCAGGGTTTGAGTCCTGGACATGGCAGCTTGCTTTCTTACGTTCCCTCTCTCTCTCTCACTCTCCCTCTGTGGTCAAAATAAGATAAATAAATTTAAATGAAAAAAATAATTACCCCATGTTTAAAAAAAGGAAAAGAAAAAGACCTGAAGCCTGGAATGTTTGTCCTTTGCTCTCCCTTTTAAATCTTTATCCTGCAAAACTCTGGATTCTTTCCCAGTGCTGTTCTCTACTAGACCCCAGAAAAAGAGAGCACCTTCTCGTTTCTATCGACCCAGTGTTGTTGCCTTTGGAGTCTGGGCGAGAGCCCCTTGTCTTGGGCCATCCTTTATTCACTCCTCTCAGCCCCCTGAGTTTCATATGTTGTTCAAAACCATTTGGGGCAGGCACTTCCAGTTGGGCGCTTTAGAGCAGGAAGAAGCCTTAGAAATTGGGCAGCATGGAGCCTTCCCGTATGATTTGGGACTCAAGGCCCCCAAGCTCAGGTCCTCCATGCCGACTCCCATCCAGTGCTCGGGAGGTAGCAATTGTCTCTCCCACACTATGTGGCTTGGCAGGGCCAAGGGTCACTTGATATCAGCGGTTAATATTTACTCTAGGGACCAGCAGCTGGTGTAACAAGCACACAGGCCCTATACAAAAAACCTCTCAAAAAAAAACCCAAATGTGCTCTCTAAGTCTGAGCTGTACACATTGTGGAAATGTTCTTGTTAGCTCTTCAAGATCTCCCCCAGTGGTAAGTCTGAGTCTTCTCTTCTCTCTATTTTTCAGATGAAGAAATTGATGCTCAGAGAGGTTAAGGAACTCCACTGAGGCCACCTTGCTGGTAAGCAGCAGAGCCGGCACTCACACCCAGCTCTCCCTGACTCTCCAAGCGCTGCTCTAATTTGCCTTGCTTTCTTTGCCTTGAACAGCATTGAAATGATCGTTCCTTTTGACCAAAGTGTGAACTCTCTCCGGAGAGATCTGTGAGTTTTGGGTTTCGATGTTGCTTGTACAGTTTCCTGGACTGATAGGGCAGAGGACTGAGACGGGAGTGGAGATAAAAAGCAGCCGCAGGCCCCGTGGTTCCCTGGTCAGGACAGACCAGAGCCACGGTAGTCCTGTGTTCAGGAATGAGCCACTGTGACTAGCAGAGGCCAGCACCCACTCTCCCCAGGAAGTCACCCCACGGGTCCAGGCTGTCTAGGAACCTGACCCTGTGACCCAGAGCAGGGCCAGGTGCCCCACACATCCTGTTTACTACCATCCTGCTACAGCCATGGAGGAGCCAGTGGGTGGGGTTCACCCCAGCTGGAGCAGCTCCAGAGGCTGTGCTGGTCCACAGTGCGGTTTTGTAGTATTTTGGGGTCTTGTTTTTTGCAAAAGCCAGAGGAAGTCCGTGGGCTGGGTTCTGCCTTCCCCTCCCTGGGGACGGCTGGCTTGCAGGGCCTGGGTCAGGCAGAGCTCCCTTAGAAGAGGAAACCTCTAAACTTGAGGGCCAGAGAGCAGAGCACGATGGACTATAGTACTGTAGTCCTGGCAGGATGGACTGCAGGTAACCACCTGAGCATTCCATTTTCCATACGAGCAGGCCGAAGCGCAGGGTGACCATAGCACCCGCGTCTCCCAATGCACGCACCTTATTCCCTGAGCACCGAGTGCTTTGCTGTGTCACTGCCTGCTCTACCTGTGCCTGTTGCTGGGCTCAGCAGGGCACAGTAGTGAGGGAGGCAGGGGAACTCTCTGCCTCTGGATGGGGAGACAGACAAACAAATGAGTAATTCCAAATGCAACTGAGTGTCATTTCGTGACAAAGGCTATGAAGGGGCATGCCGCAAAGGAAGGAGAAAGTGACAGTGATGCAGTTTAAGGGGAGGAGAGAGGCCTCTCCAAGGAGAGCCTGTGAGTAGGACCATGAATACAATGAGAGAGCAAGCCATGTGGCTTCTGGGTAAGAGCATGCCTGCGGGAGTGCGGGACAGCAGATATGCAAAGGCCCTGGGGTACCATTGCACTCTGAATTTGATCCTCTGCACGTTTGTCTCCCCTCTCTCCCACCAGCAGCTTCTGCTCCTCTCCATGGTCCGTCCATCTGTCATCTCCAAGTATCTGGGAGTGTGGCAGTGTGTGGGGGTTCCTAGCAGGCAAAACCAAACAAAATTGAATGAGGCAGAAGAGAAGCGTATCTCTAACAGGAAATGACTTGTCTTAACTCTTAGCCCTTAATCCTTTTTGTATGATTCACTCTGGTGAAATTTGAAATAGTTTTATGTCCTTGGCTCTGAATCATTCTCAAAGTGCATTTTGAAGGAGGGCTGTGAGTTGGAGGACACTGTAATCTACTATTTCAGGGCCACCTTTTCAAGAGAAGGAGCCTGGATTTGAAACCACAGAAATAGAACAGGAATGGTGTGGGCT